TGTAAGGGGGTACCTTGGGGAGGCTTGTAGCTCTGGGCTGGTGTGCAGCCTGGTTCCTTTCTGGTGAGCCTGCTTGCTACCTTTCAGTAACTCTTCTTTTTCACAAGGAAATATTTTATGAAATTAGCTAATTTACTGTTGGTTCAAGTCACCCCCTCCGGGTACCAGCCAAACAAGCACCTGACAGGGGGAGTCTTGCCCGGCTGTCTGCCTGTACAGGCCCAGTGTCTGGGGTCTGAACAAGGCACAAGCAGGTGCCCTAAGGCAGAGTTATCTATCAAAGTGGGCCTCAGCAGACAGGTTCACATGGGTGATGCTGCCCAGAAGTCAGACCTCACATTGAATTCTGTCCATGGGGTGACTACTGCAGATGCTTTCCCCCTGTGATGCCTGGGGCTGAGGTGAGGGTTAATGCCAGCGTCTCACAGCTGTTGGGGCTCCTCGTGTCCCCACCACCCTGCAGCTCACCTTCCTGTTCAGGTTGCTTCTGGAGGCTGAACACAAAGTTCTAGAAAGGCAGTGTGTGAACTGACTGAGCTCACCTGAGAAAACAGCTGTCTCCTGGTTGGATGTAACTTTCTGTTCTGACTTATTTCTACTACCTGCATTAAGTACAATCCCAATTGCACTCCTGCCACAATACAGTTAATAAGTGAATTCTCTCCCTAATGAGACAATTGTCTGGATGAGAAGATGCTGGGCTCGCATCTTCCAGACACTCTGCTGCTCACAAGGAGTTGCCAAAACCAAAGGGAGATACTGATGCTGTGTGGGGCCCTTTGACCCCAGCCCCCTTGAGCTCTGATGACACAATGCCCAGACCCAAACTTGCCACGCCCTGCTTCTGTTGTCTAAACCCTCAGGGAGCCTGGGGAGGACCTGTGTCGTCTGTCAGTGTCCCCCTGGCAGTGAAGAGGCCACAGCAGATGCCTGGGATCTGGCTCTCTGGACACTTTTCCAAGCCCACTCCTCAGACACGTATCCCCGAGCTGGGCCATGGTGCTGGCAGAGGGATCGGTCATGCTGCTCCTGCTTGGGCTCTGGGCGCACCTGGAACCGGGCCAGAGCTCCCCTGGTCGTCCCTCGTGGCGCTATGTTTCATCTGAGGTGGTGATTCCTAGGAAGGAGCTACACCAGGGCAAAGGTGTTCAGCTGCCAGGCTGGCTCTCCTATAGCCTGCGTTTTGGGGGCCAAAGACACGTCATCCGTATGCGGAGAAAGAAGCTTAATTGGCCCGGACACCTGCTAATGATGACTCAGGATGACCAAGGAGCCTTGCAGATGGACTATCCCTACATTCCTATGGACTGCTACTACCTCGGCCACCTGCAGGACATTCCTCTGTCTACCGTCACCATTGACACCTGCTATGGGGGCCTGGAAGGCATCATGAAGCTGGATGACCTTGCCTACGAAATCAAACCCCTTAGGGACTCCCACAGATTTGAACACATCGTTTCTCAGATAGTGGCCGACTACAACGCCACGGGGCCCATGTATTCGCTGGAACACAAGGAGGATATGGACCCCTTCTTCTCTGAGGTGAACAGCACTGTGGCTCCCAGGTTCTCTGTTATGATGTACAGTGCCCATATGTTCCATGTGAAGCATCATGTTCAAGTTACTAATGGACTGTTTCAGGTATTCACCAATGTGTCAAAAACCGTCCAATTTGTAATGCATTTGTACCATGTTGTTGATAATATTTTCAGAACTATGTATGCTGAGATTTATGTTTCTTACCTAATCATATATGATCAAGCAGATCCGGTATCCCCTATTGATGACTATAGGGTTCCAGGAAGTCCACTGCATACTCTGTATTACAATGTGCTATATCTAGCTCTTTATCCACACTCAGCCATAGTACTTACACCAAGTAGGCCACATGAAAGTGAGTATGAACTTCGTGGGTATTGGGTGTGTGGCCGTAGTGCATATAACTATCTTGGATACGCTGGCAGACATTATTTTTCATTAGGTGTTGTAATTGCACACCAACAGGCAAAACTCTTGGGTGTGGACCCTGACGAACCATGGTGCGTTTGCAATAGAAGAGCCACCTGTGTAATGTACAGATACCCTCAACTGACTGATTCCTTTAGCAACTGTTCTTTTACTCATGTTCAACATATAGTTGGGGCAAGTTCTTCAAGATGCTATTTTTCAGCCTTCCATGACTACCGTAATAAAACTCTACTTCAGGAACGTTGTGGAAACCGTAAGATAGAGGGAAGGGAGAAATGTGATTGTGGCTCCTTCAAGCAGTGTCATGCCAACAAATGTTGTAAAGCCAACTGTGAACTCACACCTGGAAGTGTTTGTGATAGAGAACAGTGCTGCACAAACTGCACCTACTCCCCTCTTGGGACTCTCTGCAGACCCGTCCGGAACATATGCGACCTTCCAGAGTACTGTCGGGGGTCCACCTTCACATGCCCTGATGATTTTTATTTGCAAGATGGAACCCCATGCACTGAAGAGGGCTACTGCTATCAGGGGAACTGCACTGACCGCAGTATCCACTGCAAAGAGATCTTTGGTGAAGATGCTCAGAATGGTCACGACAGCTGCTATCGGATAAATGAAATAGGGTTCCGATTTGGCCATTGTTCTAGAAGGGATACATTTCGTGCACACACTGCATGTAGTAGAGCAAACAACAAGTGTGGAAAGCTGCAGTGCATCAACGTCACTCGGATTCCCCAGCTGCAGGAGCACGTTTCATTCCATCAGTCTTTATACGATGGTGTCTTCTGTTTTGGGCTGGATGAACACCTTGGGAATGAAGCGATTGATGTTGGACACGTGAGAAACGGTACTCCCTGTGCTGATGGGCTTTTCTGTTTTAACAGAGAGTGCAATACGACTTTGGATAAGTTGAACTATGACTGTTCCCCTGAGAAGTGCAATTTCAGAGGAGTTTGCAACAATAAAAAGAACTGCCACTGCCATGTGGGCTGGGATCCCCCGGCGTGCCGAAATACAGGTTCTGGTGGGAGTGTGGACAGTGGACCCCCTCTTAAAAGAGTGCGTACAATAAGGCAAAGCATGGCACCAGTGATCTATTGGAGAGTTGTCTTTGCTCGCCTTTATTGCTTGATTTTTGCTCTGCTCTTCGGGATGGCCTCACGAGTACGGACAGTTATGACTACCACTGTCAAGGAAGAAACAATTCCTGAGAAACAGTAAAGTATCAGTCAGCCTCCCGACCCCTGTAAAATACAGAGCCTGTAGCAGGAACATCTGTGAAAAAGAATCAGTGCAAGAGACAGCAGCGCAGAGATCATGCATCCTGCACACAGGGGTCGTTCTCCCTGTCGTGGGGGAGGCGGGAGGCCTAGGTTTCTGTCGGCAGTTCTCCCTGATGGGTCACTGGTGCTCAGCTGAATACATCTTTGAGACCTCACGTTATTGTCTTCACATCCTTCCATCAGCGTTAGGCGTCCATAGGAGCCCATGTCTCGGCCTGAAGTTGGACACCTGGGTCAGCAGCAGGGTGAGGCCTGAGCCACTCGTCCCAGGATTAATGAAGTCGTCCCCAGCTCCTTGAAGGAGACGTTCAGGACATTTCTCCAAAATAATGTTCCTGGGCTTGCGTTTCTCCTCCACTTCTGAGTAAACTCTCCTTTCCTGAATCCAGAATGAGTTTAGGCCTCCCAACCAAAGTCTCCCATTCCGCACTAGAGTGGCTGTGAGCATTGGGACAGAGGGATGGGGGCTCAAACCCATCACCAGGCAAAAGCTGTGCCAACCTGGGGCACAGATCCCTCCGTGAGAGGCGGCATGTGAGGAGGCCTGACTGCAACAACTGTCCTGGCCTGGGAGGGAGCAGACGGCCAGGGTGAAAAGCCAGCCTGGAACCTGGGCCGCTGAGGGCACACGGCTCATGGTGTGATTGGGGTGGGAGCCATCCTAGCTGTGCATGCATTGTCCAGCACGGTTTCTTCCTGTTACCCTTCATCTCCTCCTGGGACAGGTCCACTCCCAGTGCCGCTGTATCCCAAATCCTCGTGCTGTGTTTGTGCTTCATGCTGCCTCGAACCTAAGCGTCAGACTCCAAGCTCACTCTCATCTTCTGCTTGCTTACGCTCTGGTGGATCCAGCTGCTATACTGTCCCTGTCTCTTTTCCCACTGGATCCCTATTTAGAGATATTGATATTCCACTGTACACCCACATCCCCCATCACAAATGTTTCCATGTCTTGCTCAGGGCTTTGTCACAACTTCCCTGTAGATCCCAGAAGCCAGGGAGGCCCTTCCTGTGAGACCCGTGCTGTCGTCCCACCAAGAAGCAGCATCCTGAGCACAGGAACCTGAGCCAGGTCTTGGGAAGAGGCTCCCTCAGGTTTCAAGGGCATTGAAAGCAACTCCAAAGTCCCCTAGAATGCAGCTATGCGTTCAGTAGGGTGGAGCACCCCACTGGGAAGGTCCCAGGGCAGCATGAATGAGAACTGGAAGGGAGTTCGGGCCCAGCATGTGAACTGGGAGAGGGAGTTTAGAGAAGATTTAGATGGGGTCCTGGGTGAGGCAGCACCTGTCCTGGAGAAGAATGGGGGACTCTTATTGCTGCTGAGTCAACAGCCCCACCCCCACCCCCGAGAGCCCTGAGAGGGGCACCTGCTTCCCTGAGTCCCACAGGCCTTCACTTTGTGCCAATGGGGGCAGGAGGGCAGGAGGGGGCCTGGGCAATGGGTGTTCCCCCAGGAGATGGGAGAAGACAGCAGCGAGAGGCCATGGATGCACAGTAGCAGGTGCGAGTCCCACCGCAGAGGAGAAGCCACCCCAGACACCACACCAAGTTCCTTTCCTTCTAGGGGTGGGCCGGGTGCTTCTTGTCTGCTTCTGAAATGCTCTGATGGCTGAGGGGAGCTGAGCCTTCCTAGCTGGGGTGTGGAGGAAGGGACAGCTGGCCACAGGCCCTGAGCAGGAGCAAGGTCCTTCTGTCCCCAGGCCCGGGCTGCCCCAAAGCCTGTGTCCCACAGCCCAGCTCAGCCCAAGTCACAGGCCTTCTTCCTTTCTGAGACCTGCAGGACCCTGGTACCAGGGCTTAGCAGGTGTCACCTGGAGCCCGCTTGGGAGATACGGGACACTGTAGGGGCCTTGGAGGAGCTCCCAGAGCCCGGGGCACACACGACTGCTGCTGTCGGGGATCCCACTTGTCTTTCACACTCAACAGAGGGCGCAGGCCCTGGGCCAGAGGAGGCTGCCGCTGAAGGCACAAAGGGCCATGGGCATGTGGGTGGACACAGGGGGTGGAGCTGTGGAGGGCTGAGGTGACTGCCAGCAGGCAGGATCCTGAGGACATGTGTGGTGTGTGTGTGTGTTTGTGTGTTTGTGTATGTGTGTATATGTATCTTTGTGTATGTTTGTGTTTGTGTGTCTGTTGTTTGTGTGTGCCTGTGTGTTTGTGTATGTGTGTATTTTTGTATATGTGTTTTTGTGTGTATCTGTGTTTGTGTGTTTGTGTATGAGTGTGTATGTATGTGTGTGCTTGCATGTATGTGTGTATGTCTTTGTGTGTGTATATGTATTTTTGTGTATGTGTTTGTGTGTCTGTGTGTGTGTCTGTGTGTTTGTGTGTCTGTGTGTTTGTGTCCATGTTTGTGAGTGTGTGTGGGCTCACAGCTTCACATCTACTAGGAATGAAAGAATGAAAATGAGTCTTCAAACATTGTTAGATTTGTTCGTTTGTTTTCTTTCAAAGAGAGAGATCTCCCACCCTCTGGTTCACTGCCTAAAACAGCTAGGGCTGATCCAGGCTGAAGCCAGGAGCTGGGGACCCAATCTGGGTCTTCTTGTGAGTGTGGCAGGGGCCCAGGTGCTTGAGGCATCACCTGCTGATTCCCAGCTCAGGCAGGCAGCTGGAATTGGGAGTGAAGCTCGGGATCCAACCCAGGCACTCTGATATGGGTGGTGGTGTCCCAGGTGGCATTTAACTGCTATGCCATGTGTCCACCCCCAAACCTTGTTCAATAACAAGTATCATGGGTTCGGAAACACCAGGGTCCTCAAACACTGCTGGTAGGAATGTGAGGTGGTCCAGATACTTTGGAAAACAATTTGTCACTTCCCCAAGGATTGAATTTACCAGAACTTACTTACCAAGAGCACCCGACTCGGCTCTTCCTTTGTAGTGGCATGCTTACACATACATGTGGGCACTGACACACATGCACACATTTGCCTCTATCATGCGTGCGTGCACAAACAACCAGGCTGGCAGGCACATACCTGTGCATCTCTGCCCACACACATGCATGCAGATGTGCAGCTGTGTACTGTGTACACATACATGCACTTACACATACATGCACAAACATGCTGACATACAGACATAGCAGGCACACATATAGATTCCCTCCATATGACATCCAAACTGAAGCATGATCTGGTTTCCTCCCCATGCAGAGAAGGGTGAGGGATCAGAAATGCTGTAGAAAAACGGGCTGGGCCAAGCTTCCCATGTGCTTGAACCAGCATCTGCTGCTTTCTCAGGTATAGATCAGGAAACAGGATCTGAAGGGAAGGAAGCACGACAGGGGATGCACGCATCTGGACAACACCTTAACTCACAGTGCAAAGCACCTGCCCTGGTACATTCCTTTGGCACAAGGACTGGGTAAATGATGTTAGCATACATATCAATTCCTTTGGGCACATGCACAATTGCTAAATGAATCATAATAATCTGTGTAGTGTGTCAGGAGTCCTTGTCTGGTGGGAGGCATCTCCATAGTCTAGAGCTCCATTCCTCACCACTTTACCCTTCTGCTCTCCACAACAGCTCCAGGACAGACTGGGGCATCCTGAGTGAGTTCGCAGAACCCCCTTCCTATAAAAGTAGATGGGCAGATCAACTAACCAGAAAATCAACAAAGAAACGGCAGAGCTAATCGACACTATGGACCTAACTGATATCTATACAACATTTCAGCCCAAGGTGTTGCAGAATACACATTCTTTTCATCAGTGCATGGAAGTTTCTCTCTCTCTCTCTCTCTCTCTCTCTCTCTCTCTCTCCCTCCATCCCCCCATTGCTTTTGGTTTTTATTTCTACATTTTTTAAAATTTTATTTAAGGTATACAACTTTCATGTATTTCCTATATACAGATTCAGGAATATAGTGATACTCCCTATCCTACCTTCCCTCCCGCCCACACTCCCACGCTGTTTCTTCCTCCCTCTCCTATTCCTGTTCTTAATTTTTTTACGGCTTATTTACTTATTTATTTATTTGAAGCAGCATTACAGAGGGGCAGAGGCAGAGAGAGAGATCTTCCATCTTATGGTTCACTCCACAAATGACTACAATGGCCAGAGCTCTGAAGCCAGGAGCCAGGAGCTTCTTCCAAGCCTCCCATGTGCATGCAGGGGCCCAAAAACTTGGATCATCTTCTATCACTTTCTCAGGCCACAGCAGAGAGTTGGATCAGAAGAGGAGCATCCAGGACTCGAACTGGCACTGCAGGCGGTGACTTTATCCATGTGCCACAACACTGCCCCCCCATTCTTGATTTTTATAAAGAGCTGTTTTCAGTTAACTTTATACTCATAAGATTAATCCTAAACTAAGCAAAGAGTTCAACAAATAGTATGAAGAAAAGAACACTGTCCCCCAGCAGTCAAGACAAAGCTTGTACACAATAATCAAATCTTGAAATGGTAATTTCACACCTAGAGATTACCTTTTAGGTACTTTGTTACCACAGATCAGGGAAAAATTTGGTTTTGTCTTTTTGGGACTGGCTTATTTTACTAAGTATAGTGGTTTCCAGTTGCATCCATTTTGTTGGAAATGAGAAGATTTCTTTCTTTTTTTTTTTCACTTCTGTGTAGCATTCAATAGTGTATACATACCATAATTTCTTTGTCTGGTCTTCAGTTGGTGGTCATCTGTGTTGATTCTATATCTTAGCTATTGTGAATTGAGCTGCAATAGGCACAGGTGTACAGGTAGGTACATCTTTCATATGCAGATTGCATTTGGTTTGAGTAAATTCCCAGGAGTGGGAGGGCTGGGTCATATGGGAGGTCTATTTCAGATTTCTGAGGTATCTCCATGCTGTCTTCCACAGTGTCTGCACAAGTTTACCTTCCCACCAACAGTGCATTAGGGTACCTTTTTCCCCACATCCTGCAAACATTTATTGTTTGTTGGTTTCTGTATGAGAGCCATTCTAACCGGGGGGAGGTGAAACATCATTGTGGTTTTGATGTGCATTTTCCTGATAGCTAGTGATCTTGAGCGTTTCTCCATGTGTCTGCTGACCTTTTGCATTTCTTCCTTTGAAAAATGCCTGTTCAAGTTATTTGCCCATTTCTTAACTGGATTGTTTATATTGTCATTGTTGAGTTTCTTGAGCTCTTTATAGGTTCTGGATATTAACTCTTTATCAGTTGTATAGTTTGCAAATATTTTCTCCCCTTCTGTCAGTGGCCTCTTCACGTTGCTGGGTGTTTCTTTTGCAGTACAGAAGCTTCTCAGTTTAATGTAATCCCATTTGTCAATGTTGACTTTGATTGCCTGTCCTTCTGGTGTCTTTTTCAAGAAGTCTTTGCCTACACCAATGTCCTGTAGGGTTTCCCAAGTGTTCTCTAGTAATTTGATGGTATCAGGTCATACATTTAGGTCTTTAATCCATTTGAGTGGATTTCTATGTAAGGTGTACAGTAGAAGTCTTGCTTCGTACTTCTGCATGTGAAAGTCCACTTTTCCCAGCACCATTTGTGAGGAGACTGTCCTTGCTCCAGGGATTGATTTTAGCTCCTTTGTCAAAGATAAGTTGCTTGTAGCTGCATGGATTGATTTCTGGAGTTTCTATTCTGTTCCATTGGTCTAAACATCTGTTTGGAGCCAGTACCAGGCTGTTTTGATTACAACTGCTCCGTATTATGTCTTGAAATCTGGTATTGTGATGCCGCAGGCTTTGCTTTTGTTGTATAAGATTGCTTTAGCTATTTGGGATCTCTTGTGTTTCCATATGATTTTTTAAAGGATTTATTTTATTTATTTGAAAGGCAAAGTGACATAGAAGTAGAGGCAGACACACACACACACAGAGAGAGAGAGAGAGAGAGAGAGAGAGAGAGAGAGAGAGAGGTGTCTTCTATCTGCTGCCACT